GAAAAATTGTTCTTTCAAAGACAATACTGAGCAAGATAAAATCGGAGCTTTTCTCGGATCTTTGGGGGCAATTCGTGAAAGCAAAAAGACCAGGTTCCTAAAGATCGATCGGACTTCGGCGCTCGGGGGGATAAAAAAGACCAAGACAAGGCCAGAATCAGATGTTCGCAAACACCGTGTTGTTGGTCGGCACTTGCAAAATGACCGATATGTTTCCTTTCTTTGAACACAAAACGACAAGCCGTGCTTGTTGGATAGGGACACAAGCTGCACGCCGCTGTGCGAAGGCAATGTGGGTGGAATGCCGGGGTTTAAACATTGAGATTCGACCCCGTCCGAGCATATCCCCGTCGCCAAAACGATGCCGTTCTAATCAAGGTGGTAGCAGTTCATCTGTGCATACATACTCGGAGTATAGTAGTAAATTATCTCTTCTTGAGCCTCGATACGCGTAGTAAGCTTGTCCAACTTGGAACGTGTCAAGGACACGCCGGCTTTACCTCTTGCGCGCTCTTCAGATTGCTACGCATCGCCCTCCGGCAATCGTACTATTTTTGATGCTGCTGTCCTCTGTTGTGTGTGGTGGTATGTATTTATTGATCGGGAAGAACACGTATAGTATCGCTGCGCTACACGGCTGCGCTGCTGTATGTATGTGTATTTTTTTTTGTTGAAGGTACTGAAGCAACAGACTCAGACGGTAAACTCAACGGTCGCACGCAAGAATGTCCGGGCGGGTTTCGCAAGGTTAAGTGTAGCATACATCCCTGTTGTTCAAGGGATATGTTCTAATCGGGACCGAGGAGTTTGGCGATGGAACCAGACGGTACGTTCCTCCCTTTTCTGCGGCGCCATGCTGATTACAACCAGCGGCGACACGCAGCAGTGCTGCTGCTGAGACCTCATAAACTTGCGTGATGATAGCGGATGCATGCGTCCTAGATGCTGAAGGTGGGTGTGCGGACCGCGAGATGGCGTGTGTTGTCACAACTTGTTCAGATGGTGCAGATCATGTGGAAATTAAAAAAATGGACAGGCCCGCCAGACATTTCAGGAGCGGGATCCGACCCCTGAAATGTTTGGCCCAACATATTGAAATTAGACCAGACCCGCCAAACATATGGGGGGTTGGATCCGACCCCCGAACTGCGGACATACTTTTCACTGTATTGGCTTGCTTCTGAATATATGGTTGGTGGCAAGGAAATGTACAGGTGATATGTTCGCAGGAATCCAAATCCAGAACTGTTTGCCTGTTGAGAATTACTTCCCAGAGAGATTCAGTGCAACGGCATATTTGGTCGCCATGGCTTTCAGCGAAACATTGTCATGCGCTTTCTCGCGGTGCAACTGCGGTGTGATCTCCATATCGAGCTACCCCTCCATGGTACTCTCAGTTCAGACTCTTTACCTAGCCTTTTCGGTGCGGTACCTGGATCTGCCGGATGCTATTGTAACATTGGCATCGTTACCACTTGTCACAGTGAGTGTCGCGCGCGCTTCCTGGCAGAAACCTCCCCTCCTGTAGACTAGAGACTCTGAAAAACGCCGACCCTATTATAGAGGGGGACTGCAGCCCCCAGCTGCAAGGCCGAGCCCCACAACGGACTACGGCTTGCAGAACTAAGCAACGCAGAAAGTCTTGGTATATAGCATCTGCTGGATAGTCCAAATGTCGAATGCAAGTCTCGAACGCAACTGGCACGCACATTAGAGCTGCATGCCAATCGCAGGATGGTTGTGTCGGGGTGTTTTTTTTGTCTCTTGTCTCCAATATCAACGCCCATCTGTGCCGCAAAAGAGACTCCCGGAGCTAAAAGTCTCAAGCAACGGCGTACGTCCGTGGGATAGACTCTACAATAGTGTAGGATCCCACCGTAGACCTATTGTTGTCGCATTATGTGTGCGAAGTACTGGAACACCAATGCTGCTTCTGTCGTTTCGTCTACGGTAAAGTCTACTCGTCGATAAATATATCGGCCATTTTTGCATGTGCGGCCAACTAATATATTTTCTCAATAAAACTTTTTTCTCAATTATTAGGGTCGCCTGTTCTCATGTGGTTGAAAGTAGGTTTTCTTTCGCCTTCATGCTCATCGCGAGAAGGATCAGCCGTTCTGGCTTTTTTTGCTGTCGGCATCATTCTATAGAACAAGAGTCATTCTCCCCTCTAACTTTTGTTGTTTCGGTGATTCCTTTCTTCTGCGGTGCCTGCCTTAACTTTTTAGTATCGCGAGAAGGATTCTGCCGTTCCTTTCGTCGACTTTTTTTTTTGTCGCTCTCGACATATTCTGGCAACAACGAAAGTCATGTCTTCCTCTCTCTTGTTGTTTCGATCGGCGGCTGCGTTGCAAGCAGCGCGAAAAAAGTATACGAAGTTGATGTTGCTGTCGTCGTCTTCATATTTTAAACCGTTCTTGTTTCTCTACCTAGTACCTTCTTCATTTGTCGTGCTGACAAAACACCGAGCGATCCCTGTGGTCACAGGCTAACGCACCTAAGAAGGTATACAGTGTACTCAAACAAAACGGACCCGAATACGAAGTAATTTCCTAAAGAATCATGATCCCTTCTCTTGATTGTTTCGATTCGCGGCTGACGGCCCCATAGGCGGTGCACGGCGTCGTCACCGCCGAGCACTGGGAGACGGCCGCTGCCGAAAGCCGATGGCTGCAGAGGCCGACGCCGGACCCTTCGTCGTTCGCCTCGCCGGGGGAAGCGACGCGCTACTGGAGGCGGTGGAGCAAGCTCTCGTGCGGCGCCGCGGTGGGTGGGAGGTTGACGGTGACTGTTGTGGAGGGAGCTCTCAGTGCTATCTTCAGGGGGGGGGG